ACTCTTCCTGGAAGTCATCCAGCGCCACAACCACCAGGTAAGGCCGCACCCAATGGGTAGCACCCGCTACTTGCTAGGTCCCCACCTCATTCTTGCCTCCTATCGCCACAGGGCTTCGGAGCGGGCAACTTCAACTCCCTGTTCAAGGCTTTCGAGGAAGAGCAAGCCCTACGGGGTAACCTCACCGACCTGGAGACCAACGGGGTGAGGTCTGGAATGTAGGTCCCGCTCACACCTAGACCACGCAAGGTGCTGGGTACATCAATCATCTCCAGCCGGCTGAGGGACAACCCCGGGGTTCCACCCACATCATGGCCACGCCCCCTCAATTGCAAGGGTCCTTCCTTGCCTGCTCCCTCCCTGCTGAGTAAAGCGACCCTCCAAAGCTGTGTCTTGTGTTTGTGCCGGGCAAGGAATTAGTGGCATCATTTCGCCGCCAGGGGGAGACCAAGACCGCTGAGCTGCCTGAGGCCTGTGTGGGGAGCAGCAGGTGCAGGGTGCAAAAACTTAAGGGGGGCCCTAGGGGTAGGACCAACTTGTGGAACTAGGAACAAGGAACATACATTCCAGAGACAAAGAGATAATACCGTTTCAAAGAGCGATAAATGCCACTAAGACAATAAGGCGGGTGGTGGAGTCCAGTGAACATCTGATCCACAAAAAACGTCCCAGAGAGAGGAAACAGACAAGGTCCGTTGGGCTTTAAAAACTTTTGAAGATGAGATCTCCTTAATGTCCTCACTCAGAAAACATGATGGGGGTCAAGGGACTTCGGGGGGGAGTCCTTTCTCAGCAATCGCAGGACATGGTTCCTGGTCTGTGAGAGAGTCCAGACCGAAGCGATCGGAATCCCTCAGCTCCTCCCTGCACCCTGAGTGTGGCAGTCGCCAGTGCCCCAAACTCCAGGGCAGCTGTATTTCCTCAACACTAGGAGGCAATTGGGAACGGAGCCAATGGTCCGAAAGCTACGGGATCATTATTTATTCAGAACCCTAGGGGTGCAGCTCAGAGGCAGAGCATACCCTACCCTTAAGAGTGTCTATCCCCAGCACTGGAAAACAAACAAAAAACAGAGTGGGGTGGACTTTGGTTTCTTTTCTTTTTGCTTTACTCTGATAACCTTCCTGAGCACAAATGAACTTAAAATTAGGCTCACTTAATTTTGTTATTATTATTATGTTTTGTGGTTGTTGTTGTTTTTTTTTCCGAGACAGGGTTTCTCTGTATAGCTTTGGTGCCTGCCCTGGAACTTGCTTTGTAGACCAGGTTGGCCTTGAACTCACAGAGATCCGCCTGGCTCTGCCTCCCAAGTGCTGGGATAAAGGTGTGCGCCACCACCGCCCCGTGGTTCACTTTATTTTGAGATGGGAGGGTGGTGTCTTGCTATGTAGCCCAATCTGACCTGGAACTTGCTATGTAGACCAGGCTAGCCTGTAACTCGAGTTCAGCTTGCCTCTCCCTCCACCTCCCAAAGGGTGGGGAACCAAACGTGTGTGGCACCTCGTCATGACAAAACTAGAAACACTTTGATCTCTCTAAGAAAAAAATCCAAGACGGTATCGGTATCATGGGGAAGACTTGCAATAGCTTCTATTTTGGTTTTTTGCTTTTTCCAATGAGAGGAAAAATCAGGGCTTCTAAGATCACGAACTAAGAAGTGGAAAGGCTAAGTTGGATGTGGTGGCGTACGCTTGTAATCCCAGCACTCCAGAGACTGAGGCAGGAGGATCGGAAGTTTGAGGGCAGTCTCCATGATGTACTCAGACCCCCAAAGCAAAACAAGAACAAAAGACCAGGAGAAAATGAAGAGGAGCAGGGCTTCAGCCAATGCAAAAATATTCTCCCTATTTCCATGGCTCATGCAAAAGAAAGTCTCTAGCCCGGAAGGGCGCAAAGCTATAGACTGTGGACCACATCTGGGCATATTTTGATTGCGTGACTGCAAACAAGTCATTTTTGTTTGTTTGTTTGTTGTTTTTGAGACAGGGTTTCTCTGTGTAGCTTTGGTGCCTGTCCTAGATCTCGCTCTGTAGTCCAGGCTGGCCTTGAACTCACAGAGATCCACCTGCCTCTGCCTCCCGGGTGCTGGGATTAAAGGCGTGCACCACCACTGCCCTGGGCCAAGTCAATATTTTGATGTTGTTTTGGGCTGGTTTTTCTTTTGTTGTTTTGAGACAGTTGTGTAACTGGTTGCCCAGGCCTCTGGGATGCTGGAATTAGATGCGCCACCATGGCCTTCTTGAGTCAACATTTTAGAAAGCTGGGCCACTTCCCATACACACTTGGGGGTTCTGGCTTGTCTCACCACAGACACTCTCATCTTCGGTTTTGCCTTGGTACTAAGTCATAGGCACCTCCATATTCCTAACATCCCTCAGTAGGCTCGGGCTGCCAGGGTCACATCCCACACTAGCAGCTGCTTGCTACCTAGGTGACCTTGGGCACGCTACTTCCCAGTGCCTGTTCCCTCATCTAGTGAATGGAGAAAGTAGCTTTGCGCCTTTCCTGGAACTCACTCTGTAACCCAGGCTGGCCTGGAACTCACAGAGATCCGCCTGTCTCTACCTCCCTGAGTGCTGGGATTAAAGGCATGCGCCACCACCGCCCAGCTTATTATTATTGTATGTGCCATGCATGGGTGAGTGTAAGCCTGCACATGCCACTGCACACGTGAAATCAGAGGACTGCTCTCGGGAACCAGCTGTCTCCTTCCCCCATAGGTTCTGAGGGCTGCACTCCAGTTATCTCCCGCTCAGGTGTCTTGACATCCTGAGCGTCTCACTAGCCCTGTTTGGTGTGCAGCAGGATTTTACACTTGGCGGGCCTAGAACTCTTGGCCCTCCCTCTGCCTGCGTCCCAAGTGCTGGCGTTACTGAGTGTGGGTTGCCGCTATGCCCAGCCTCGTTCGGGGCTTGAGTCTTTCCTTCTCAGAACCACCTGGAGGCTCACCCCATGACCAGCCACCAGAGCAGGCTGCACATGTCGGTCAGAGGACAATTTCAGCTATCCATTCTTTCCAACCCACCATGGGTTGTAGGGAATTAAGGTCAAAGCCACCAGGCTTGGCAGAAAGCCTCTTTAACTGATGAGCCCTCTTGCCAACCTCCCAGACCCTTTTTATACTGGTTATCTTGAGGCAGGGTCTCACTACGTTGCCTAGGCTGGGCTTGAACTCACTTGACAGCCCAGGCCTCTGGAGTAGCTGGTATGACAGGCCTATGGCATTGATTTTTGCTCAATTACAGATCATTAGCAGTTCTAGATACCTAAGGTCTTAAGAAAAATAGCTAGGGGGAAAAAAAAACCCTCACTGGACAGTGGTGGTGCACACCTTTAATCCCAGCTCTGTGAGTTCGAGGCCAGCCTGGGCTACAGAGTGAGTTCCAGGAAAGGTACAGAGCTACACAGAGAAACCCTGTCTCGGAAAAATAAATAAATAAATAAATAAATAAATAAATAAATAAATAAATAAATAAATAAATAAATAAATAAATTCTCTTTAAAAGGTTAGCTTGACTACAGAGGACCCAGCTCAGAACCCACTGACAGGCTCAGAATTTAGAGCCAATCACTGAAAATCAAGTGGGGTGAAACTTGGACAGCCTGACCTAGTAACTCCCGATTACAAACAAGCCCAGCATTTCAGGAGGCTGAGGCTGGAGGACAGCTATAAATTCTTGGCCCAGCCTGGGCCACAGAGTAAAACAATCTCAAATGCAAACAAACCCACCACGCCCTCCAGGTACCTGGGCCTGGCCAACCCCTCCCTCTTTGTGAACAGGGCACACTTTCCACAGGGAGAAAAAAGAGGGTGAGTGTGTGTGGGGTGGAGAGCAAGAGAGACGGCGAATCTGTAAGAAAAGTCAGTATATTTATGGTTTGCTTTATAAAAGTTACTATAATACAATGGTACATAGTATTGAATTCACAAAAATATGAACAAATATTTACAGCAAGACACACCCACAACGAAAACACTTCTCTTCAAAAACAAGTTACATACGGATGACAGAGTCGATACGAACAGACAACCCTAAAATTGATTGGTTCTCTTCTTTGCAGGGGCAGGGAGAGGGAGGGGGGAAAAAAAGAAAAAGAAAAAGACCAAAATCAGAAACCCCTGACCCTTCAAAAGCAGAGATCTATTCAATGATAAGAAAAGCTTTCAAAGAAAAATGGGCCCACATATCAGGATTATTGCAAACCGTTCCTGGGGGGTGAGTCAGGGGTTTGGAGGGGGGCGGCAGCCTCAACGCCTCACCCATCATCAAGGTCAGCGTGCTCGGATCCCATGATGGGGCTCAATGAGGCACCGCCAGGGACCCGGCAACTCTTCCCTGGCTTCTGGACGTCCTCATCCTTACCCTTTTGTGGTAGATGGAAGTAGGTAAAATGAAAACTGCCCCTAGCGGGGGGGACTGGGGGTGGGGGTGGGGGCTACACAAGTAACTCAAATTAGCCATCTCTACACACTACGCATTTCTTCTTGTGAAAAATAAATATTTTTTTTTCTCATCTGCACAGTTATGCAGAAAACTGTAAATGGAAGAGAAGTCGACGCCGTGCCCAGGTTACCCCTTCCCTGTGTCTTTAATGCCACTGATCTTCCTGACCTTCAGACCTGTGGGCACAGTCTCAAACACAGAGGGCCTGTGGAGGATTCAAAAAGGGCAAAAAAAAAAAAAATCCACAACAAAACCACCAACGACAGAGAGAGAGAGAGAGAGAGAGAGAGAGAGAGAGAGAGAGAGAGAGAAGTAACAATTCTTTGTACAGAATTTACATATAAGCTTGACACAAGCTGAGATACCAGAGACTCCGCCCTGGTCCACGGGTGGGGTCGGCCCCACCTGGAGCCTCTCCACCTCGTGAGGACTCCGGGTCACAACAGTCACGGTCCAGAAGTATTTACATGCCTGCTCTGCTTTCTGGGGGGGGGGGGGAAGGGGGGGGGGGGGGGGGGGGGGGGGGGGGGGGGCAGGAAGGGGACTAGCAGGGAATGTGTGTCACTTTTGTTGTTGTTGGTGGTGGTGGTGGTGGTTGGTTGGTTGGTTTTTTTTGGAAGTACAAAGAAATAAGGAAAAAAAAAAAAGTCTTCCCGCGTTTCTACAAGAAACAGAGTTCCCGAGAAAAAGTCCGTTATGGCAGTCTATCTACAGGGATTGGTTCTGAACGCCCAAAGAAAAAAAATTCTTTTCTTCCCTTCGTTTTGATTTTATACACAAGAAAACAAACAAATTCATGGAAATTAATCCTGAAAAGGGTGGGGATGGAGGCTGGGGGGGGAGGGGCAGGAGCTGTCTTCTAAGACTTAGATTTGAGGTTTAAAATCTTTTCCAAGACTATTTTCCTTTCTCTGGAAGGAAAAAAAAGAAAGAAAGAAAGAAAGAAAGAAAGAAAGAAAAAAACTGCTCACTATGGAAATAAATACGCTCTGGCCTCCCAGGTGGGGGCCGCCAGCAGGGTGACATGGGTGTGGGGACAGGGGCAAAGCTTATCAACAACAAAAAATGTCACGTGCGAACGGTCGGACAACCCGTAATGGCAGGGCTGGGCCCCCCCACCCCAGGGCCCTGGCACCCCCTACACCCAGACAGAGTAGAGGCAGCAGGGAGTAGAGGCACCCTACCCGGTGCCCCCCCACCGCACTGGGGATCCCCCAGGAGGGTCCATCGTTGCTGGCATCCGAATGAGAAAGTAAACATTGAACCCAAGGACTTGGGGGGCGGGTAGGGCAGCTGGGAACACCCAGAAAGGACATTCCTGTCTGGGACCAGCTTGGCTCCCCCCCCCAGGGTCTACCTCAGGGAAAGGCCACCCTCAACCACAGGGGAAGGGACAGACCGGGGGGACAAGCCAGGAGAAACTGTGGGGGGGTCTGCTCACTGCATCCGCAGGCAGAGAGGGGGGCCTCTGGGGTATGTAGTGTTCTTGAGGTGGACGCCGCTGGAGTCCCCCCCTCCTGCAGCACCTGGGCCGGAGTCAGCCTGGACCCTGGGCCCACATACAGTTTCACTGAGGCCGGCCTCCAGGCCCCCACGGGGTTCCTCCTCTGATTCTGCCTTCACATTGTCAACGGTTAAAATGTCTCTTCTTAGGACAAGGAAGAAAAGTAAAGAGAGGCCATCGCAACAGAGCAGCATTCACTGGAAAGAGGCCGAAGACAGCGAGAGAGAGAGAGAGAGAAGACGAGGAGGATGTGGGGGTGGATGGGAAGCTAGATACAGATGAGGATAGAAAGCCTGCAAAGAGCATCTTTACAACGGAAAAGACACGGGTGAGACAGAGAAGCCCTTTCCCGCTGCGGGGCTGGGGCTGCGGGAGGGTCCTGGGGTAGTGTTGGGGGGTAGAGGGAGAGGGGGGCGCCAGGCCCTAGCGTGGCTGCTGGGGGGGAAAGGGACAGCACCTGAAATGGGTGGGAGGTGGAGCCTGGCCCAGGGCGAGGGTCCTCCCGGGCTACAGCTGACATCCTTGGCCTTTGGCACCTGGGGACTAGTTGAGGGTCCCCCGGCAGTTCTCGGAGCCACAGAGGCAGGGGATCTTGACGTCCTCAATAGGGAACTTGTAGTCGTACGTGATCTCCTCGTTGACGTTGATGTGCTGCTTGGAGTAGATGACGATCTTCTTCTGTGACTCCACCGTGATCACCTTGGCGTAGCAGTTGGGCTGCGGAGGGGGGGCGGGAGGTGACGATGTGGTGAGCCAGGGACCAGGACCCTACCCAGTCCTCACCACGCAACGACCCAAACCCAACTGAGCCTGACTCTGGTCAGGGGCTCCAGGCTCAGCTCTCCCGTTAGCGCCTCCCATGCCTGATACTAAATTAAAATGGTGAGGGGCTAGAGGGCTGGCCCGGTGGTTAACAACACTTACGACACCCCTGCAGAGGACTTACAATCAGTTCTGAGCCACCAGGCACGGTTAACCGGTCCTCGCCCACCTGGGCAGCCTAAGTAGTCTCCCACTCACTAGTCTGGAGCTCAACCAATTAGCTACGCGGGCTGACCAGTGAATTCCAGGAATTCTGTCTCCACCTCCCCAGCACGGGGATTACACCAAACCTTTTTACGTAGGTTTTGGGGAATGAACTCCGGTCTCTGTGCTTGCAAGGCAACCAATTTACCAACTAACGAGATCGGGTCCCACTTGTGTAGTCCTGGTGGGCCCAGAATTCACAGAACTCACTTCCTAGACCAGGCTGGCCTCTAACTCACGGAAGCTCACCTGCCTCGGCTTCCCGAGAGTGCTGGGTTTAATTAAAGGTGTGAGCCACCACACCTGGCCCTCAGCCCGCCTCTTACGCACTTTCAGTCTTTCGTTATGACTCTAGGATTCCCACTGCACCCATTGTATAGAAGCAACAACTGAGGTCAGGACCAAAGCTCCTTGTCCAGGCTTCTTATCCCCTCCCTCCCTGTCACCTTTGGCCAGTTGGGGCCTGGAAAGGAGGCTGAACATCACAACTGCCATGCCTAGGAGCTTGGGTCCCCGGTAGAGGTGGGGTCATCTCGGCCCTTCACCGGACACTCACATTGCAGCTGTGGTTTATGAAGCGTGCAAAGTTGCCGCACTTGGTGGCGTCGATGATGGTGTCGTGGTCGACCCTGAACATGTAGCTGCTTCCGATGCCTTCGTCTTCATACCGTTTCTCCCTCATGTCCGCAATCACCTGGCCGCAAAAAAAAAACAAAAAAACAAAACAAAACAACAAAAAAAAAAAAACTATGAGACTGGGCCTGCTCCAAGCCCCCGCCACCCCTCGCCAGTCCCCCCGGGCGGCACCTACTTGGCGGATGTTCTGGCCCACATATTCGATGACCATCTCATCAGCAGCAATAGGCTCCATAGCAAACAGGCCCCAGTCGTGAATGTGGCTCTTACAGAATTTGAGCTTTTTCTTCCGAAACTGGAGGAGGGAAGGACGGGGTTGGGTGAGTGCGCCTTCGGACCCCCCCCCCCCACGGCTGACTCGGCGGGCCCCAGAGGAAGGTCTAGCCTCACCTTGAGCTGGTTGAACTTGAGCAGGTCGCTGTCACAGCTGCCAGTGAAGGAGGACAGCAGCCGCCGTTGCTCAGATCGCCGCTCTGAGCCTGCCCGGGTGGAGGCGTGGGGCTGGGCCGGGATGCTCATACCCTGCTGACAGGATGGGGTGACAGATCAGAAAGGGACGGACTCCAACTTCCCATCTCGTCAATGGTGTTCCGAGACAGGGTTTCTCTCTGCAGCCCTGGCTGACCTGGAACTCGCTCTGTGTAGACCAGGCTAGCCTCTGCCTCAGATCCTCCTGCCTCTGCCTCAGAGTGCTGGGATCCAAGCCACCACTGCCTTGAGGCTCCTATCGGCATCTGGAAATGCTTTTTCTTTCTCTCACGGCTGAGCCCCTCCCTGCCTGATGGAAACCCTTTTCTGTTCTCAGTGGACTCTTCTGACATTGTAGGTGGCTTCCTCCTCCTCCTCCCTCAGATCCAACATGACCTTCTCCGGCCCTAGGACTTGCCAGCCTCTCTCTTATCCATGGCATTTGCTCATGATTATTTTTGTTCATGTGAATGTTCATCCCACACCATGAGGGAAAAAAACAAAACAAAACTTTGTTCTGTTCACTGATGCTGCTTCTCAGCAGTGACTAGGACATAAGAGGTGCTCAATAGGTGTATACTGAATAAAAAAAGGGGGAAAAAAAGGAACTTTTTGGAAATGCATTTATGTCCAAGGTTAAAACCATCTGGGGCTCTCCACGATCCACAGAATAAAAAGCAGTATTTGTTTGCTTTGTTTTGAATTCTGAGACAGAGTCTACCTATGCAACCAGACTGTACCCTAGAACTGATGAGCCTCTACCTCCCCAGCCCTGCCTTTTACCTCCCACAGCCCAACTGTGGGATGGAAGGATGCTGCTGTCAGAGCCCCTGCCCGGACCCTCCCCTGGGAATGCTCCTTTCGTGACGCTGAGCCCAGGCTCATCCAGGCCCTCCTCACGGTACCTGGGTATCCATGGGGGGCTCGTCGGTGCTCGCACGGCTGCTGTTGAGGTATCTCAGCTTGTCTTTCTTGTCGATGGTGTAGAAGCCCTCGCTTCGGGCGCAGCCTGTCACGTGCTCGCGGATGCCATCATCCCGTTTCTTCTTCTTTGCTGACGAGAGGCTGGTGGGTGGGTGTGGGTCAAGGGCCACAAGAACATTCTCAGAGGTCCTCCCTCCTGGTCCCTCTGTCTGGCCAGCCTCAGACCCACCTCTTGGGACAACGATGCCCAGGGCCACCACCCGCTTCAATACCACCTCCGCTAGCTCCGCTGGGCATGTTTATTACTACCTGCTGCCCGTTTCGCACCTGAAGATAGGGGTAAGGAGGCATCTATGGATAGTTAAATACTTTCAGAGAACTCTAGCAGAGTTCCTGAGCCAGCAAATGATCAAATCGGTGCAGAGAACGGGGATCACGACAGGTCCGTTCTTACAGCGGCATGGGGACAAACTGGCTTCAGGACAGCCCTCACAGCAAAGAGCTGGCTTCAAATCTCAGTGCCGCCGCCGCTTGCTAGCTGTGTGACTCTGGGCAGGTCACTGAGCCTCTCTGAGCCTCAGTTTCTTCCCGTGAAAGATGGGACTACTCACTGGGCCGCTTGGGATTCAGTGCAAGCCAAGCAGAGAAAGGCTGAGGGAGCCCAGGCCGGTCTCCTCTACTGTTACGGAGCTCTACAATCCTCAACCTACGTTTGGACCCGAGACTCAGCTCTGCTGCCTCTGGGAGTGAGACAGGCCGGGCGTGACCGCCACCCGATAGGCGACAATGACTGTACTATTGCCTCCCTGGTACCGTGACTGCTAGAGACAGGGCGATATGCCCGGAGGGGCTCCTGCTTCCGAGGGATGTGGACCCCACGTCTGGCAGGATATAGGGATGGTAGACCCAGAGGGTGTCGTTCAGCCAGTCCATGCCGTTGTCCTGCTGCAACAGGCGCTCGTAGGTGACGCACAGGAAGCGGATGTCCTCCTCGTCGATGCCACCGTTCCAGATGTCATACAGGATGGTCATCTCCTCAAACTCTGAGCGGGGCCGGAAGAGGGGCTGGGGCGGCGAGGGCTCCGGGGAGGCCGCCGAGGGGGCCACCAGGTCCTCGTGGCGCTTCTTGGGTGGCCGCCGCCACGGTCCGCGCACCTTGGCCAGGTCCATGTACTCCTCGGTGACTTCATCGCGGCGAGGTCCCGGGGGGATGGCCTCGGAGGGCCACTGGTTGTCCAGCTCCTTGAAGGGCAGTTTGGTGGGCTCCACGGGGGGCGGGGGCGGGGGCGGCGGGGGCTGGGGCGGGAGGGGCGGCGGGGGCGCTGGGATCCCTGTGTTCCGGAAGTCCAAAGTCACGGCCCGAGGGTCATGTGCGCCGGGGAAGATGGGGGCCTGGGGCTGGCCCGACAGGAGCAGCAGGTCCCTCCCGAGGGCGGGCCCTGGGGGTGGCCGGACCAAAGGTCCATCCAGGGACAGGATAGATGGCGGGGATCGCCGGGGCCGGCCTGGCTTCCTCTTCATGGGGGGCGGGCACGGAGCTAGGGAAGCAGGGAGCAGGGGAGGCAGCTGGGTCGGGGGCCGAGGCTGGGCCCTTAGGACAGGGACGGGGACGGGGACCGGGACGGGCAGCGTCAGAGGCAAGGGCAGAGGCAGGGAAAGGGGGAGAGGCAGGCCGGTCTCCAGGAGCACCGGGGAGGCCAGGGGGCCCGAGCGCTCATCGCGTCGACCGGCTGGCAGGGGACAGACGGGGAGCAGCAAGGGTCCGCTGGGCTCAGGGAACGTGGGCGTGAAGGTGAAGTCCCGGCCAGGTGTCCGCGGGAGGCCCCCACTGCTCAAGCCGGGGGACGGGGACGGATAGGAGAAGGGGCTGCCAGGCACCTGGGGGGAGCTCAGGGACAGGCCGCTGCTGCCCCCCGACAGTGGGGGCTCCCCGCCTGGGGTGGCGGGCACCGTCTCTGTGCTCTGTGACTTGGCCAGGGTGCCACAGAGACCTGGCGTACGCGGAGGCTGGTCCTCGGGGGGAGGCTCCAGGGGGATGGGAGGTTTGGGGGGCTCTGGGGTTTCGGGCTCAGGTGGTGGGCTGGGGGGCCGGAGCAACCGAGGGGGCGGCAATGGCGGCTGCAGGGGCAAGGACAGCATGGGAGGAGGCTCGGGCTCCACTTCCAGGTCTTCCTCTGCAGAGAGGTAGGCAAAAACCAGGGCATTGTTACTTGATGCGAGCATCTCTCCAAGCCTTATATTCTTATTGTCCTGCTCTGCGCGTAACCTACAGATACTACTCAGTTAAACCACGCAAGGCATCTCGGGAGCCAGCCCAGGGTCTGGCACCCAGAAGGGGCTTCCTAAGTGTCAGGAGGCTTTTCCCCCAGCACTGCAGAAAACAAGACACTCTTGTTCCTACGGCCCAAGAAAACCTGCTCCATGGTGTAATAAAACTCAAGTCTCATCTTCACCGTACTGGTCGGTCTTTATATTCCCCTAGCATTTATTATCTTTCCTCTCTTGTGCATTTTTCTAGTGCACATGTTGCAACCTGTCACTCTGACCTCAAATACGTGCTTCAAGAGGACAGACATCTTCACCCATCTGATCTACCGCTGCTGTATTGGCAATGCCTAAGACAGTGCCGGGCACCAAAAGAACCTTCATACTGAGGTACTGTTCACAGACCTGTGGTCTGGACTCAGTAAAATGAGATACATTAAAACAATGGCAACAGTTTCCTCTCCTGGATTTCCAAAGGGGACATACTAACCAGGTGCGGCTAGGTTAGATATTCTGAGACGTTAAAACGAGTTATAATTAAGTAAGAGTACCGAGTCCCAGGAGCTCAGTAGTAACACTGTGTCTAGCAGCTCAAGTTCAGAGAGACCATCTCTGCCACTGCCCGGCATGCCCACACCAAGGCCCCAGCAATGAGCTTTTCACATGCTTTGCCCCACTCTCTCAAGGTGGTGGAGGGTGCAGAACCCACCGTCTCCTCACCTGACCTGGCACCCACAGGCTGCCCCCCTACTCACCTGCCACTAAACCGACCACGGGTTTCCACCGAGTGTGTGTATGGGGGCACCTCAGGGACACACGGACTGAGGAATAACCCTTGGGGAAGGTTTTTTGTTTTTTGTTTTCTTTTTTGGCAGGGGGTGGGGTCTTCAAGACAGGGTCTCACTATGTAGTTCTGGCTGTCCTAGAACTCACAGAGATCCACCTGCCTCAGCCTCCTAAGTGCTGGCCCGGTGGGAATCTTGTTATTGAATAGTGAGCCCAGCAGTGACCCAGGGGCGTCTGCCGAGGCCCTTCCAGAGGACCCGGGCTGGTTCCGTTGGCGAAGACACTACCCAGCGTTCTGCCCCACGCCCCGCCCAACCCCCACCCGGGAGGCTGCAGGGTTACCTGGACCGTGTTCAGGAGGTGATGGGAGCTGGGCCTCTGTCTCCCTGGCAGGGAGCTCTGGAGACAGCAACATGTCCTCTTGTGTGTCTGGGACTGGCTCTTCTCGGGGCTCTTTGCTCCCTTCCAGCTCCTGAGCACCCACGGGCAAGGGAGCCTCCTCCAGCATGGGAGTCTGCATCTCGGGGACTTCGTCCGCAGCCTCAATGTCCACTTCCTCTTCTGTGCCCAAGGACTCCCCCATGGGGGCTCCTGGGCCCAGAGGCACTTCTGCCCTCTCTTGCTCAAAGTCCTGGCCACCTGCCGGAGGCATGTTCTCATCGGCCATTGCCACTACCATCGCTGTGGCCATCGCGGTCTCTTTTTCCTCCTCCTCTTCCTCTTCCTCCCCAGGTTCGGCCATGTCCTCTTCATCCTCTGAGGATGAAGATGAGGACGAGGATGACTCCGAACTGGATTCATACTCGGAAGACTCGGAACTTTCACTGGATGACGACTCGGCTACGGCCTTTGAGGTGGCGATGCTCTCTGTCTCCTCTGGGTGAAGGACACAGGTTGGGAGGGTTATTTCACGGCCCCCGTGGTGCCCCTCCCTGCCCCGTGCCAGATATTTCCCCGAAGACGTTGAACAGGATGCCTCCTGAACACAGCCCTCAGGCACTGAAGGGGAGGAACCAGTCCTCAATATATAAAGAGCACAATGAAATGAACGTAACACTCTTCCTTTTGAAGTGAACAATCCCAGCACTGCTCAGTATGTTAGTTCCCAGTGTGATGACCACCACCTCCACTTAGTTCCCAAGGGCTTCCATTGCCACCTGCTTCGGAAGCACCCACTTT